AATTCTGTCATGATCCAAAGAGTAACAACTGGATTAGGATCCTGCCAAGGTTAGAAAAGGCTAATCTGGCCTGAGCACTCAGTTGGAAGTTTCAGAATCTGTCAACCCCATCCAACTCCCTCCGAGTTTGGGCTTGACCTCAAGGACCCTCAGAATTGGTCCAGCGTAGGGCAGCCGTTTGGACCTGGGACGAAAGAGCGGTCCGGGGGATCTCCAAATTCTCCCCAGATTCTGGCAGCCGGCGGGGGTGGGGGGCGCGGGGCGGTTCGGCGAGGGGCGGGGCATTGTGACGCGGGGACTGATAGTGCGTCGCACGTTGCACAGCACTACCCTGGGTGGGCAGCGCAGTGCAGCCGTTTAGATCGGGGAGGAAAGAGCGATCCTGGGGGTCCCCAAAGTCAAACGTCTCCCCAGGTTTTGGCAGCCGGCCGGGGGAAGGGGCGCAGCCTTCCCTCTTTCCACACCTGATCCAGGACACGTTTGCCTGGGGTCGCCCCACGGGGCTGCACCTTCCAGCTGGGGGCGGGGGGCGGGGCCCGGCGCCCAGGGGGCGGAGCTTCCGGGGGCGGGGCCCGGGGCGGGGCGTCAGGCGGTTGGCGCTGGGAACGGGCTCCCCGCGTGCGGGCACGTGATCCCAGGCCCCGCCCCCAGTGCTGGGAGTTGGGTGGGAGGGCGGGGCTTGGGGTAGAGCCCGCTCCGCCCACGCCATGCCACGCCCATGCCAGTGCGCTCGCTGGGGGCTCACCAGTACCGAGCCGATTGCCGACGGGGTGTACTGGGGCCGGCCAGCCTCGCCTCGCCCAGTCTGAGGTTAGCACGTGTCCTGTTTAGACGCCAGAGAGCAGCATTGGTCGCCTTTTCTCTGGATCAGACTGCAGTGCCAGGGATGCCTGTGCCATCTCGCCCTTCACCCGGCTGAGAGCTGTGTAGACATCAGAAATTATCGGAAGAAATAACTTTCTAACCTTATTTGGAGACCCCCGCCCCACGGCCCCTCTTAAGGGTCTTATAAAATTGCTAGGGGCAAACCAGACGAAGTGAGTGATCAGAGAGAGTGGGGCAGGTACTCGTGGTCAATCCAGGTCCCGTCTTCTGTACCACATGTGATCCCTGAGCACGGAGCCAGGAGTTTCATTCCCTGAGTGTCGCTGAGTGTGGCCCAATAAACAAAGATAAGTATTTTTTTTTTCCTGCCCTCGCGCCTGGCCGTCCTCACCGGGGCCCTTGGAGGGGAGCGGGTTGAGTTTCCCTCCCCGCCCCGACCAGGGCTCCAGCAGCCGAAGCCCTCCAGAACCAGCCACCACCATGCTGAGACCACTCTCCACACGCATGAAGGTATGGGGCTGAGATGTCCAAGCCTGCTCGGATCGGGGCTGAGCATCCTCCACCCAGATCTTCCAAATTCCAGTAGGCAGGGGTCACACCCACCAATTGCCCCCCTGCCGCCCGTGTAATCCCATCAAAGGCCAAGACTCAGAGATTATAAAACCCAGCTCCCAGAAGCGCAGCCGCATTTGCGGGCACGTGACATCTTATTATGATATCTTATTATCTCGTTCCTACTTTGGATAAACTGGCAGGCTACCGAATGTAGCCTGCCCACATGGCAGAGTCTGGCAAACTCCCCGTGGCGTACCCAATATGCCAAATACCAGTAACAGTGATAGGTCTCATTCTCCTAAACCTGAAAGAGCCTTGAATATGGCACTTTTTAAAAAATCTCTGGGCTAGGATGAAGGAGACGTTACTGGGGCCTGCTCAAGGCAATCGCCGAACAACAGGATGGTCATGATCGTGATCTTTTTTTGCTTTTTGGGTCACACCTAATGATGCACAGGGGTTACTCCTGTCTCTCCACTCAGGAGTTACTCCTGGAGGTGCTCAGGGGGCCATATGGGATGCTACGAATTGAACCCAGGTCGGCCGTGTGCAAGGCAAACGCCCTACCCGCTATGCTCTCTCTCCAGCCCAAGATAAATAAATTTTAAAATAATATGTGAGGACTGGGGTGAGAGCACAGTGGGTAGGGCGTTTGCCTTGCACGCGGCCTACCTGGGTTCGAATCCCAGCATCCCATATGATCGCCTGAGCACTGCCAGGAGTAACCCCTGAGCACCGGTGTGTGACCCAAAACGCAAAAAAATAAAATAAAATAATATGTGAAGTGGGTAGTCAGGTATGGAACAGAGCAGACAACTGGCAAATTGCTGATATTCTCCTGGACTCAGCCCATGACTTAGGGTGAAAGAAGAAACCAGTACAGAGGCTTCATTGGAATCTAGAGAAAGGATGATGGTCTGGATTTGGGGTGGTTCTAAGGACAAATAGTAGAGGAAATATTTCATGTAGGTTTGGAGAGTTCTAGGGATTGGTTGCTGAATTGAATCTGGGGGATAGAGAGGGAGGAATTTGGAGAGTGGTTGGTTGGTTCAAAAATGGCTGCTTGGGGCTGGAGCAATAGCACAGCAGGTAGGATGTTTGCCTTGCACGCGGCCGACCCGGGTTTGATTCCCAGGATCCCATATGGTCCCCCGAGCACCGCCAGGAGAGATTCCTGAGTGCAGACCCAGGAGTAAGCCCTGAGCATCGCTGGGTTTGTTTGTTGGCTTTGTAGCAATGGTACATGAGAGGAACTTAGAGCACAAACAAGGACTGCAGTTTGGGACATCGGTGATACTGGTAGCACTGAGCGTGGATGCCATCACTTACAGCTGAAGAGCAAGTCCTGGGCAGAGTTGGAACACTGGAGAGCACCAGTCTGTGGATCTCAAGGAGAAGCGGGGAGTCCAGCAAACCGGGAAACAATCTGCCAAAAGGCAGGAACAGCAAGCGGGAGGAGAGAACAGACAGTGTTTGAGGAAGAAAGTCCTCTGCCTCCTCAAAGTCCAAGAGAAGTTGGCTATGTCTCAAGACAGATGGACATGGGCTTGGAAACATGTTGTTCGGGTGATTTTGAGTTGGTGACACAAGAGCACATTTGCTTTTCCTTTGGAAATGTTCCCATAGAGGAGCGACAGAGGACCCAGAGGAGGGACAAGTGTCCTTTTCAGAGGGAAGAGACCTCTCTCAAGAACAGCCTCTGAAAGGGATGGGTGTTGGAACATCGTATGACTGAATTCAGATACTGCACAACTTTGTATCTTTGTAAATCAGAGTGAATCTGTTAAGGGAAAAAAAAGGCTATGAATCAGTGTGATCAGTGTGTACAGGTGCGGGCATTCAGGACATCCAGTCAAATGTCGTGCTACACCAGGCCACCCAGAGTGAGGCGCTCTGAGCCTGAAGGAACAGGGGGCACTGCACATTCTAAGGCAGCCACAGTTGCTTAGCAACCCGTTTTAACAGGATGTTTCAACTGAATTCCTCATTAACTGCCATTTCAACTTCCACTAAGAGTTCTAGTCACTGAGACCCCAGCTCGCTCCTCTCCTTTTCTTCCCCCAAAGAACACCACTTCCACTCCTCGGTGTTTGACATGCTATTAAACACTGCAGGCTTCTTGTTTTTATTTTCTATAGCTGATAATGTGTGCAGTGAGATAAGACAGAGAGAACGGGACTCGCAGACTCTCAGTGATTTTTCTGAGAGTGTGGGCAGTTGGAATCACATCTGGAGAAGCTCAGGACTAATTTCCTGCTCTGTGCTCAGAGGCAGGGATTGGAGACTTAGGGCAGCGGATTGGAACCAGGCCCTGGCATTGTAAGGCAAGTGAATTAACTACTATACTGTCTTTCTGGCCTATTTTTTTTTTATTTTGAGTTCTGGGTCACACATGGATATAGGCTGGTTCCAGAGGTCTTTGGCTGCCGGGGGCTCTGCTCTGGCAGGGAGAGAAACTCAACCCGCCCCCCTCCAAGGGGCCCCTGTGAGGACAGCCAGGCGCAGGGGCAGGAGACTGCGCTGTTCTCTTCTGAGAGCTGGGTTTTATAGTCTCTGGGTCTTGGCCGTTGATGGGATTACACGGCACCAGGGGGGCAGTTGGTGGATGTGACCCCTGCCTACTGGAAGATGGAGGATCTGGGTGGAGGATGCTCAACCCCTATCCGAGTAGGCTTGGAGATCTCAGCCCCGGGACCCACATGCCTTTGTTCCTCTGCGGTACCTTCTTGCTTGGAGAGTGGTCCCAGCATGGTTGTGGCTGGTTCCGGAGGTCTTTGGCTGCTGGGGCTCTGCTCTTATGTCTTGCTTTGGACAACCTGGCAGGCTACTGAATATAACCTGCCCACAAGGCAGAGTCTGACAAACTCCCCGTGGCATAGCCATTATGCCAAATACCAGTAACAATGATGGGTCTCATTCTCCTAATCCTGAAAGAGCCTTTAATGTAGCACTTTTTAGAATCTCAGGGCTAGGAGTAGGAGATGTTACTGGTGCCTGCTGGAGGCAATCCACGAACAACAGGATGATCATGTGATCATAATGGATATAGGTATTGGGCTACTGGTCTGTGCTGAGTCCTTAGTAGGGCTCAAGGGACTATGTGGTACTGGGGATTAAATTGGGGTCAATGTTACAACAAGTGTACTATCCACCTCCTGTGCTTTTTTCTTTGCCTCATTGCATAACAACTAGCGATGCTCAGGGCTCTGCACTCAGGACTTAGTCCTGGGGATGCTCAGGGGATTGGCTGTATTAAATGTCGGGGATTGAAGCTGAATCCAACGCGCACAAGGCACCGCCCTCCCGGCACTAGTGTGGCTCCGGCCCCTGGTGCTTTGCTTTTACTGGACGGTGGGGCCGGGTTAGGGCCACACCTTAACCGGTCACGTGTAACGGCCAGGCGCACCCTCCTCCAGGCGAGCGCCTCTCGCCCGAACTACAAGTCCCACAACCGCCCGCGGCATCCGGGTCTCCCCGCGGAGGCGAGGAGGGCGGGCGCAGCACCAGCGCGTCCGCTTTCCTCGGGCGTTGATTGGCCCGCGCCTCCAGCAGGCAGCCAATGAGCGCGCCCTGCCAGCGCCGCGAGACGCCATCGCGGCTTCTTGCAGTTGGTGACGACGTAGAAATTGTACCATCTCGGAGGGAGAAGGCCCGGGGCGTGGAGGTGAGAGCGAGACGGCTCCTTGCGGCGGCAGAGGCAGCCCCCGAGCGTCTCTTCATCCCGCGCGACCCTTCTTAGGGTCTTCGGGCGCTGCCCGGGGGCGGCGGGGGGAGGGACAAGGATGGAGAAACTGAGGTAGCGGAACCGAGCCTGGCCGCGGAGGTCGGCGTCGCCGTTCGCTTCCCTGAGGGGGTGCGGGGGCGGGGGTGAGACCCCGCGAGGCGTTTCGGGGTGACAGGCTCCCGTCGCGCCGGCGAGGGGTCGTGTCCGGCGCGGGGGGCAGGGCAGGGGGCTGCGGGTGCCCGCGCGAGCCCCCCTCCCCCCCCGGGATTCAATTCTGCTTTGCACCTCCTGGTTGGCGCCGCCGAGGTTGGGGAGGGGTCGCAGCTGCCAGGCGCTTCCAGAAAGCTCCCCAGGTTCGGGTCCCCCGTCCCCCCATTCCTCCCCACCAGGGCCGCAACGCGCCCCACCCCCACCCGCGCAGGCGCTTGGCATCTGGGCACCTGGTCTTTGAATTCGGCCTCCTCTGTGGCACCTGGGCAGGCAGAGACGCAAATAGGACCTGGGGGTCGGGGAGTGACGCCATCCCGCCCCCCTGCAGCGCTGTCAGTGGCCGCTGCTGGGACCTGGTGTGGGGGGAGGGGGCAGGCGGTGAGAGCGGGGAGCTGCTTGTGCCAAGTCCTGCTAATCCATCAATGAATCCCGCCAGAGCCAGGGTGCGACGCCTTCTCTCGGCCTGGGGGCCACACCTGGTGATGCTCAGGGCGTTGCATGAGGCGGGCAGCAGGCAGTGCAAGTGCCCTACCCACTCTTCCAGGCGCGGTTCTTCCTCTCCGGCCCGGAGCCCTTGCTTTCAACTAGAAATAATGGCCGACGTTTACTGAACACCTACTTGTATGTGAGGCACCCGCCCGAGTTCCTTTCTGGGGGGTGGAGGGAGGGAAGTTTGGGGCCACAACCAGTAGTGCTTAGGGTTTACTACTGGGTTTGTGCTCAGGGGTCACTCTTGACGGTGCTTGGGGGACCATCTGGGTTACCAGGGATTGAATCCAGGTGGGCTGTGTGCAAGGCTTAGTGCGCTTGCCTTAGTCCTGAATGATCTCTCTGGCCCCAAATTTCTGTTTTGGTTTGGGGTCACCACACCCAGTTGTCCTCAGGGAAAATGCCTGGCTCTGCATTCAGGAGTGGATTGTTCAGGACCCCTTGTAGTGCTTGGGGAACCCTGTTTGGTCCTGGGGATTAAATCAGGGCTGGCTGCACTGAAGACAAGCACCTTATATTCTGTTCCAGCCCTCTGCTGCTGCTTTCGAAGGTACATCTCTCCTAAATGCCCTCCTGAGACACCGAGGGTCACAAGATCGTATTCTGTTTGTGCTCAGGGCTTTCTCCTGGCTCTGCACCCGGGGATCACTCCTGGTGGGCTCAGGCAGTCATGTGGGTGCTAGGATCAAACCTGGTTCTGCCGCAATCAAGGCAAGAGCCTGACCTGGTGTACTGTCTCTTCAGCCCCATGGTGCATGTACCCCCCCTCCCCCGTGCCAGTCTGCTCAGCCGTGAGACACTACACTCCTTGGCCAGCAGTGGTTCAGAGCCAGGTGGGAGATAAGGAGGGCTCAGGGGCTTTGGAGGAAGGGGAGGAATGGGCCTTGTGGCCAGAGCCCTCGCTCTATGCTCGGGTCACTCCTGCCAAGCTCAGAGGACCATATGCATGCTGGGCCAGAGATTGAACCCAGGTTGGCAGCATGCCAGCCAACCATCATGCCTGCTGTACTATTGCTCCAGCCCCTCAGATTTTCATTTCATTCACATTGATTTGGTGAGCGCACCAATTAAATGGCAGTAGTTGACACGGTGCTGCCTTTAGGGGAAGCCGGTCACCTGCCATGTACTGGTTGTTGTCCAGGAAAGGCACCAGAAGTTGCTTTGGGTTGGTAGAGAGGGGAGGAAAATGCAGAATAAAGGGACCTGGACCAGTAGATCAGAGGTTCCGGTGGAGGGGCTGGAGAGATACTCCAACAGGTAGGGCGCTTCCCTTGCACATGTCTGATCCGGGTTCAATCTCAGACATCCTGTATCATTCCCTGCCTACCGACAGGAGTGATCACTCAGCACAGAGCCAGGAATAAGCACTGAGCACTGCTAGGTGTGTCACTTCTCCATCAAAAAAATAATCGCCCTGGAAGGTAGGAAGATGGCTCAGGTCGCAGAATTCAACTGCAGAACCACATGGTCCACTGAGCACCAAACTAGGAGTAGCCCCCAAGTACCTTAGAGGGTCACCCCCACCCCCTCTAGAAGATTCCCATGTGGGAGCCAGTTGGTGTCAGGCATTCAGAGATGGGATGCCTGGGCGACTGCTGGAGCCCTGCGTCAGTCTCTCTGGTCCCCATCGGGTGGCCTCCTGTGATGGGACACCCCACATCTGAGAGTGTGGCCCCCGCCGAGGAGAGGAGAGTGCTCTGCCCCCACTGAATTTGCTGCTGGTGTGGTTGCTTTCCTTGTTTTTCTGGCTACACCCAGTGGGGCTCAGGCTGGCTCCTGCCTGGGCTCAGGGCTCATTTTGTTTTTGTTTTTCAGATTTGTTCACATTACATTCAATATTTTAACACCAAGCCGACTACCGTTACACCTTCCCACCACCATGATTTTGAATTCCCACCACCACCCAAGCCTGCCCCTGAGGCAGACGCTGAGTAATTTATTTTGTATTGCTTGTTATGAACAATTGACTGAAAATGATCCAAAAAAGGTTTCCTTAAAGGAAAGTCTGTGAAAATTGTTGTATCTCATTTGGAACCATTAAGTTCCTGTATTAGAGATCACCAGCATGGTGGTGATACTCAGGTCCGAACTCATCTCTTCAGTATGTTGCTCTCTTCCGAGATTCATTTGTGAGTTTCTTGATCGTGGCTGTTAATATGCTTAAATGGTGCCCAGATGCGGTTCATGGGCATGACTGCCAGGAAACTGAAAGCAAAGAGATGGAGGAGAGCGTATTCCCAATTCCAGACTAGCCTGGAGATTTCAGTCACAAATCCCGAATACCACAATTTTCAGGGGATTTTCTCATGGGAAAATCCCAAGGGAAGCTTAGGGCAAGCCCGTGAACATTGGCCGTGAGCGTGGCGGCATTAGGTTCTGAAGGTTTGCAGCTCAGGGTTTCGTTTGAGGCAGGTGGAGGGACACGAGCCCCCCCCCCCCCCCGCCCCGTGAATTAATGGAATCGGCCTGGCGCGAGGTGGGGAAACATCTCTGCAGCATTGTTGCTCTCTTCTTAGATTCATTTACGATCTAAATGGTTTGTTTTGAGACCACACCTCATGGTGCTGCATTGCATTTGATATCTAGGCTCATTGTTGAGAAAACTGGCTTCTTGGCGATTAGTTTTAAACCACAGTCCTAAGACTTCATTGACCACTCCATATTTCCTGCAGTAGAGCTAGAAAAATAAAAATACTGGTCTGTAGGAAGCAGCTCGTGAGCTCGTGGGCTGGAGGGATCCAAGACAGCAGGTCATGCAGTTGCCTGACCCATGGCCGCCTGGGTTCCTGCACCACCAGAAGCTGCACTGGAAGTGCGGCCCAAAGACCAGAATCCGGGAAGGAGAGCTCCTGCCTCGAAAGTGCAGTCCCCAGATACTGCATGCTACATTCCTGGATGAAGCCTGTGTTAAAGCAAACATCATAGAGGGGGAATGATGATCTGTTGTCTTCCTTCTTCAAAGTGAATAGGGAAAATCATGTTTTTGTAACACATTCTCTGCAAAGTTACAATTTTGAACCGTCACTTTCTGTTCTAGTTTCTTTAGAGTGTAATGGTTTCGGGACCTCCCTTTAGTTGAACTACTTTCGATAATGACCTTAACCAGAGCTGGTTGTCTAAGGTTAAAGAATGACAGGTTGAGCACTCTCTTAGGGATATTCAAGCATCTGTGTCATGTACCATCACTCTGTTCCCATTACTTTCTTTTTTGCACCTAAAGGATATAAACCTTAATGATCCTTTTGACTTCAGCCATCCTAGGAATTCTGAAATTCTGTGTTACATTTGTACTGCTTAGCATTAGGGGCCAGAGGGATAGTATTTAAGGTCACCTAACCCTAAGGGTTCATGTATGAGCCCTGCCTTCAGTCTTAGGAGGCATAGGCTCAGGCAGCAAAAAGTGATAGTGTTAACGATAAAAGCCATTGGGAATATCTTGAATTTTGTAGGTTTGGTATAAAAAGGTTAGTAGAAAAACAAGAACAAGAGTACTGGCGGAAGAGCATTTGCCTTGTACGCAACAAACGCAGGTTTGCTCTTTGAAACTACAAACGGTCCCCAAAGCACTACCAGGTATGGGGGGCACCCCCAGAAAACAGAGTAGTAGTAGTAATCCTCTGTTAGGAAAAAATTAGGATCTAAGGTTTAGGTGTAGGACATCTGTAGGTTTAGGATAACAAGGTGTATTGGTACCCAGTGGATTCATTGGGATGGTGGCTCTCAGCAGTTGGCAGTGAGACTGCCTGGAGGCATCAGCTAACCGTTTTGTTCCTTTCTTCAGAATGGCCGGTCACAGGCTCTTTGTCAAGGCCGCACCTTTGCATTATTGGCAAACAGGGTCGACTGTGGGAGGGGAGACTTTCTGGGAGGCCAGTTCCTTTGTCAAGTTCTAGAACAAGGGGACAGGCGCCTGCTGCCCAGTGAAAGCATTACAGAAGCAGGTTCTCTTGGAATGACTTAGACCTTGAGGGTTGACCACACCACTTGTATTTCTGCTCCTCAGGACTGGGGCCTGTGTATCACCTGCTGTAACAATAAAAAGACCACAAAATGGAGAAGCTCGGCCTCGGCCAAGAGGAGGAGAACAACAACCAGCAGGCTGTGGCCGCGCAGAACCCAGAAGACTCGCGCCACCTGAGTATCCAACGCTGCATCCAGTCCCTGGTGCATTCCTGCCAGTGCCACAACGCCAGCTGCTCCCTGCCGTCCTGCCAGAAGATGAAGCGGGTCATGCGCCACACCCAGGGCTGCAAGCAGAAAACCAATGGCGGGTGCCCCATCTGCAAGCAGCTCATTGCTGTCTGCTGCTACCATGCCAAGCGCTGCCAGGACAACAAGTGCCCCATGCCCTTCTGCTTAAACATTAGGCAAAAGCTCCGGCGGCAGCCGCTGCAGTACCGGCTCCTGCAGGTCCAGATGATCCAAAGGAGGTTGGCCTGCATGCAGCGGACTAGGGCGGTTGGGCAGCAGCAGGGCCTGCCTTCCCCGACTCCTGCCACTCCAACCACGCCAGCGGGTCAGCAGCCAAGCGGCCCGCAGACACCCCAGCCCCAGCCCCAGCCCCCCTCGCAGCCTCAACCCACCCCTCCCAGCAGCATGCCACCCTTCATGCCCAGTACTCAGGCGGCTGGCCTTGCGTCCCAGGATAAGGCTGAAGGCCAGGTGACCCCCCCAACCGACCCTGAGACTGCTCAGCCACCTTTTCCTGGGCCCCCACCAGCAGCGGTCGAAATGGCCGTGCAGCCCAGTGGGCAACTGGAGGTAGGGGCGGGGCCCACAGGCATGCAGCAGCAACCACCGTGGGCCCCAGGAGGAATGCCTCAGGCCCAGCCGCTCCAGTCTGGGATGCCAAGGCCGGCCATGGTGTCCGTGGCCCAGCCTGGTCAGCCTTTGAACGTGGCTCCCCAGCCGGGACTGGGCCAGGTGGGCGTGAGCCCTCCCAAGCCGGGCGCAGTGTGTCAGCAAGCCTTACGGGAGCTCCTGCGGATTCTGCGCTCTCCCAGCTCTCCCCTGCAGCAGCAGCAGGTGCTGAGTATGCTTCATGCCAACCCCCTGTTGTTGTGTGCATTCATCAAGAAGCGGTCTACCCAGCGTGCCAACTCCAATGCACAGCCCCCCCCTGGGCAGCCGGGCATGCCCCAGGGCCAGCCTGGGCAGCAGCCTCCTGCCAGGCCAGGCCAGCAGGGCGTCCGCAACAATCCCGCCATGCAGAACGTGAACCCCATGCAGGCCGGCGTCCTGCAGCCAGCCTGGCGTCACAGAGGCAGCGGTAGCAGCTGCAGCCGCCGCTGGGCGGGCTGAGCCCCCAGGCGCAGCAGATGAACAGGAACCACAGCGCCATGGCTTCGTGGTTCCGAGACGTTTCCATAGACTCCAGCAGAGGCTGCGGGGTGGGGGGGGGGCACGCTGGTCGGGCTCATTCCCTGTCTAGCCAACTGAAACCCCTCCAGCAGCACCCCACTCCAGCCCTTCCCCGAGGATGCAGCCTCAACCTTCTCACCACGTGTCCCCACAGACCAGTTCACCACATCCCGGACTGGCAGCTGCCCAGGCCAACCCCATGGAACAAGGGCATTTTGCCAGCCCGGACCAGAACTTGATGCTTTCTCAGCTTGCTAACAATCCAGGCCTGGCACACAGCTGACTCGGGTTCAATGATCCCCAGCATCCCATGTGATTCTCTGAGCACTACCAGTGGTCATTCCTGAGTGCAGAACCAGGAGTAACCCCTGTGCATCGCCAGGTGTGACCCCAAAAAAAAAGAAGAAAAAAAAAGTGCCATAGCCTGTTTGTAGTTAAAGCAAACATACAAGATAAACCTGAGGCATGGTGTAATACAAAGAATTTACCCTAGTTATGGCTGGTTCCTGCCAACCTTTTTTTTCTTTGTTGTGTTGTTCAAGTGTGCACTGGGAGGAGGCTGAGGTCTGTGATGCCAACCACATGCTCCTGTGTTGCACCTCCCATAGGTTTTACTATTTTTTGTAAGTTAATATATGTAATTTTAATAGTTATTTACTAGTCTGCATGGTTGACATTTTTCCCTATTTTCCTCACTTTATGGAAAAATTAAGTAAAAAGTTAAAAAATTTTAAACCAGAACAAATGGGGTTAATGTTACTTTAAAATTACATTCTATATATTGTGAACTACTTTATGAAAGTAGAATACATAACATTTTTTAAAAATTACATTGTATATTAAAATATCAGTTTTTCTCTCTAGTGCAAAGATGTTTGTTGTTTTTGAATTATAATTAAAAAAAAATTCCCTTTCCTACCCTCATGACAACTTTTGTGCTCCAGAAAATTTCTATTCCGTTAAGTTTGTCAGATCGTAAAGACTTCCAAGTATTAAAATAATTTGTACATATAGAGAGAGACATAGCTTTTTCAAAATATAGAGGTATGTGCCGTATTGATGTATTATATTGTGCTGTTTCTTGAATTTTTTTTGTAATTCTTAATTCTAACAGGAAAAAAAATAGAGGATGAGAAACAATTCCAGTGAAACAATTTTAACCTGCAAAATGTCCTTGGGGTTTCTTTGCATGCGTCCTTCCTTCTTATTCTACCCCCACCCTACACACACACACTCTTTCTGTAAAATGTGAAAAGAGCAAAAATCCTCCACTATTGTAAAACACACAGTTAAAGTTGATTAGTTATAAGTATTATGATCACTGTAGAGACTGCTAAGTTTTATTACCTATGCTTCAATAAACTGTGTTCAGTAAACAGATACAGGCCTCTTTCATTTTTTTGCATCACATGTTGGAGTCAAAAGATGAAACAAAAGGCTCTAGCTCACAACTTCCTTGTTTGAAAAATTAAATGATTCACTGATAGTTCATTTGTTCGATTGCCCAGAATCCAAACTGAAACCCTCCTAGTAGCAGGCAGGGGTCAGGGCGCTCCCAAGCACTGAAAACGCAGAAGCTAATATGGTTTGTTCTAGGTAACTTGATGGTCTTCCTATTACCTCAAGTCACAGGATTGAGAATGAACAAGTCCTGGAGGGATCAGCTCTGGGACCGGGGGGGAGCTTAAGGGTTAGCACATGCTTTCCACTGGGAGGCCCATCTTTGAAGCAATGGTACAGGAGAGGAGCTTGGAGCACAAACGAACTGCAGCCTGGGACATCAGTGATACTGGTAGCATTGAGCGTGGGTGCCATCACAGCGAAAGGGCAAGTCCTGGGCAGAGTCGGAGCACTGGAAAACCAGTCCGTGGACCTCAAGGAGAAGCAGGGAGTCCTGCAAATGGGGAAACAATCTGCCGAAAGACAGGAACAGCAAGCAGGAAGAGAGAGCAGACAGTGTTTGAGGAAGTGAGTCCTCTGCCTCCTCACAGCCCAAGAGAAGAGACTGTTGGACATGAACTTGACAAAATTGTCTTAGAGCAAACGTCCTTCAGGCGCTTGGTACATGGGATGGCACAATAGCCGTTCTGTGTTCCAGCTTACCAAGTAACAGAGGTGGATTCAGGCATCTGTTTGGAGTTGGTGACACCGGACCACATTTGTGTTGCTGTTGGGACAGATGTTGGAACATTGTTTGACTGAAACCAAATCCTGAGCAGTTTTGTATCTTTGTCATCTCAGGGTGATTCCATTAAGGATAAAAAGCCTATGAATCTGTGTGTAGCCTACGAATCTGTGTGGGCCCTCGCGGTCTAAAAAGCTTGGTACACCAGGACACCCAGAGTGAGGAGGTCTGAGCTAGAAGGAAGTGGGGGCACTGCCCATTCTGAGGCGCCACTATTTCTTAGCAACCTGCTTAACAGGACGTTTCCACTAAGTTCCTCACTAACTGCCATTTCAACTTCCACTAACAGTTCCAGTCACTGACACCCCTTTCCTCCCCCAAAGAAAACTACTTCAACCTCTGTGCTTGACATGCTATTAAACAGACTGCTAGCTCTTCTTTTTATTTTGTATAGCTAATAAAGTGTGCACTGAGATACGACAAAGAAGATAAGACTGATTTAGTGGGGGTTTTGGTTTGTTTTTTCTTTTTAGGTCACGCCCAGCGATGCTCAGGGCATACTCCTGTCTCTGCACTCAGGAATCACTGCTGGCAGTGCTGGGGCGACCATATGGGATGCTGGGCATCCAACCTGGGTTGGCCACGTGCAAGGAAACGCCCTACCCACTGTGCTATCCCTCCAGCCCCTTAGTGTTGTATTTTTTTGAGTACCAGCAGTTGTGGACAGTTAGGGTAGCACGTGGAGATGCTCAGGGCTAATTTCCTGCTCTGTGCTCAGGGGTGCGGATTGGATACAGGGCAGGGGATTGAAACCAAACCCCCCATCTTGCAAGGCAAGTGCGTTAACCGCTGTAGTGTCTTTCTGGCCTGTTTTTGTTTTGGGGTTTGGGGTCACACATAGATGTAGGTACCCTGGGGCTACTGGGTCTGTGCTGAGGTTTCTACCATCTCTCAGAGGACCATGTGGTACTGGGGATTAAGTTGGGGGTCAACTGATACAACACGTGTACTGTCTCTCTACCTCCTGTGTGTTTCTCTCTCTCTCTCTCTCTCTCTCTCTCTCTCTCTCTCTCTCTCTCTCTTTTTTAATCTTTTTTAGGTCACAAAACCCGCTGCACACAGGGCTTTGCACTCAGGAATTACTCCAGGTTATGCTCAGCGGATCATATTAAATGCCCGGGTCCGCTACCTGCAAGGCAAGCGCCCTCACCGCCGTTACTATTGCTCCGACCCTCGAGTCCTTTGCTTTTAATGGGAAGTGTTCGAGTTGGCAATTAGGGCCTCACCATAACCAGTCACTAGCATCGGCCCAGCCCCAGACTCAAGCACAGTGTAGCCTCGCAGCCCAACGTCAAGTCCCATACACCGCCCGAGGCACCCTGGGTTCGCGGCGAGGAGGGCGGGCGCAGCACCAGCTTTCCTCACACGTGATTGGCCCGCGCCTCCAGCAGGCAGCCAATGAGCGCGCCCTGCCGGGGCCGCGGCTCCATCCTTGCTTTCGGCTCCCGAAGTTCGAGGAAACTGTTTCAGCTCCGAGGGAGAGGGTCAGGGCGTGCAGGTGAGAGCGGGAGGGCTCGTCGCGGCGGCGGAGGCAGCCCCCGAGAGTCTCTTCATCCCCCGCGACCCTTCCTAGGGTCTTCGGGCGCTGCCTGGGGGCGACGGGGGGAGGGACAAGGATGGAGAAACTGAGGTAGCGGAACTGAGCCTGGTTGGGAGGTCGGAGTCGCCGTTCGCTTCCCGGGGGGGGGGGGGGGGGGAGGGTGGGAGGGAGGTGCGGGGGGTGCCGCTGTTACTGATGTAGGGGAGGGGGCCCATGGGTGGCTTTTGTGCGTCCGGGAGGAGAAAGACCGTCACTTTCTCCCAAGCCTCCGCTGCCACCCGGACCCCAGAGTTTCGGGATTCTTCTCTCGGCCTGTTTGAAAAGAATTTCAGGCGTGTTAAACCTGGCCAGAGACAGACGCAAGAGACCACTCTGTGATGCAAAAGCAGGGAATTTTATTGCTCGCTCCAGCTAGGGTCCAAGTCCACAGGGACGACTCGGCCTCAGGACAAGGACCCGGACTCTCGTTTAGGAGGACATCATACGACATACGGTTACCTAAGCTGCTCATCCTTGGCAGTTAGCAAAAGACAGTTTCTGGCACTAGTCAGTGCTGATACGGCTCATGGTGGTGATTGATTGACCCCACTTGCTGGGGCCAGGAACTTTCCAGGTGGGGTCTTGGTTGGCCAGTTTCACATTGTTTCCTTCTGGCTATATGTGGGTCACAGGGACCGAGTCCTTTTTAGGGGACCGAGGGGTGGGAAGTTAGGGGCCACGACCAGTAGTGCTTATGGCTTATTCCTGGTTAGGGGTGTGCTCAGGGATCACTCTTTTTTTTGGGGGGGGTCACACCCGGCGATGCTCAGGGGTTACTCCTGGCTCATGCACTCAGGAACTACTCCTGGCCGTGCTCAGGGGACCATATGGGATGCTGGGGATCGAACCCGGGTTGGGCCGCGTGCAAGGCAAATGCCCTACCCGTTGTGACATCACTCCAGCCCCCTCAGGGATCACGCTTGACGGTGCTTGGGGGACCATATGTGTTACCAGGGATTCAATCTGGGTGGGGCCTGTGCAAGCAAGCACCTTAGTCCTGAATTAACTCTCTGGCTCCAAATTTCTGTTTTGGTTTGAGGTCGCCACACCCAGTCGTTCTGGGGGGCGGGGGGAGAGAAATATCTGACTCTGTATTCAGGAGTGGATTGTTCAGGACCCCTTGAAGTGTTTGGGGAACCCTGTGTGGTATTAGGGATTGAATCAGGCTTGGCTGCACAGAAGGCAAGCGCCTTTCCTCCTGTTCCAGCCCTCTGCTGCTAGTTCAAGTGAAGGCCCTCCTGAGACATCTGGATTCTACTTCACGATCACGATCATCCTGTTGTTGGTCGATTGCCTCGAGCAGGCCCCAGTAAAGTCTCCTTCGTCCTAGCCCTGGGATTCTAAAAAGTGCCATATTCAAAGCTCTTTCAGGGTTAGGAGAATGAGACCCATCGTTGTTACTGATATTTGGCATATTGGGTACGCCACGGGGAGTTTGCCAGACTCTGCCGTGCGGGCAAGATACTTTTGGTAGCCTGCCGGGTTCTCCAAAGTAAGAACGAGATAATAAGATGAAGTAGAATATTCTACTTCAGTCATGCTAAAACACTATCACTTATTAATCCAAGAGAGCTTGGGGAATTTCTAATGCATGTTTTCTTGTCTGGGTTTTGGGCCACACCCAGCTGTGCTCAGGGCTTCCTCCTGGCTCTGCAGTGAGGGATCACGCTGGTTGCCTCTGGCCTTCATGTGTGTGCCAGGGATCAACGCACATGCCTAGACCCGTTGTACTGTCTTTTTGGCCCCAGGTGCATATTTTCTTTCTTCTCTTGTGATCTCTTCGAGATTTATTTATGAGTCTCTGAAGCAAGGCTGATAAATGAGCTTTAATAGATGAACTGGAGGTGGTTTGCACGCGTGACTCCCACATACCTACATTTTAAATGTTTAATTTGTTGGGAACTTGGTCCCAAGTTGTTGGGGTCTGGCCGGAGGCACAGTGGCAATTTTGGGGTATCAGAAATCCTGAAGCCACCATCAGGCTGTCGATGCACTCGCCCTGCAGGTACAGGTTGTCCTGCTGGCAGCACCATACCCTCAAGGGGCATGTTTTCTATCTTGTTCAACTACCCTTGAGTTGTGGTTGAGAAATGCCCGAGTAATAATCCTTGTGTCTGACAAAGGGGGGTTTCATTCTGCTTGTCACTCTGTCCATCCCAAAGCACTGACCTCAAGAAGAAAAGACTGTGGAAAGGCCCACTTCCCTGCCCAGGGCCAAAGTCAGCCCTGATTGCTTCTGCCTGTTTGTGTCACCACCTACCCCCAGACTCACACCCTCCTCAGAACCAATGTAAGAGGAAGAGGGTGAAGATGACTTGGAGTTCTTGGGCAGCTACAACAGTTTCTGGAGCTACAATAGTAGTACAGGTAGCGAGAGCATCTCCGACTTGAGTCAGTGAACCAGAAAATAGGATCGAGAAGCAGGGCAGCTGCCCACCTCTCCCGGCATCTGCTCAGCCCTGGGACACCCCGCCCCTCCTTGGTCAGCAGTGGTTCAGAGCCAGGTGCTTTCGGGGTGTCCCCTGGAGGCAAGGAGGGCTCAGGGTCTGTGGAGGAAGGCGGGGAATGGGCTTGGTGGCCAGTGCCCTGCAGGGGTGAAGGACAGTTG